CGACGAATTCGTCGTCGTCGAGGCTTGCCTTGTCTCCGGAGGGAGGCATGTAATCATCTACCTCTTCATCTGCCGCTCTCTCATGAGGGCTGGCGTCTCCGTCCTCCTGTGCTGAATCTTGCTGGAGGGGGTTGTCTTCGGCACTGTCTGGGGTGTTATTATCTCCGGTGCCGGAATCTCCATTCTTGCTGTGGCGGGATTTAGAGCGGCGCCGCTGACGCCGGCGCTTGGGCTGTTTCTTGGAGGGGTCATCCTCCGCTGTTCCTTCGCCGTTCCCATCCTTTGGGATATCCACCATGTATATGTCATATGATGAGGTGGCTTTCCAGTGCCCAATAGGCGCTGGTTCTTGGTCGTCTCCGGCATCGTCGTCCATACCGTCGATGTCTTCGAAGTCGAAGTCTAGCATGTCGGTTAGATCGTCGACAGTGGCTACTAAGTGGGTGGTGGGTGGGCTTTGAATTTCTTTGTCGTCTGCGTCCCAACCGTCCTGACGCAGTCTAGCCAGGGCTCTCCTAATAACGAGAGATACTTTAGCGAACTCAAGATGCCGCCGAAAGGTGAGTGTTGAAAGATGTCCGCAGCGGTGAACTCCATGATCGGCGCCCAATCGGATTTGATTGGAGGGGGCGCGGGAGGTTCGGAGTCCGGCGAGGAGTCCGGCACCTCGGAGTCACGAGCTTCACGAGGGACAAGGTCAGTATTCAGCTCCATCGCCGTAGAGGTTGCAGCCCCCGAGGCGGTGTCTAGCCACCCGTCCTCGATCTGCGCAGCCGGCTCCGAATCGAGGATCGGAGCGGGCTCGTGTGCGGCCTCCAGGGCACTGTCCGGCTGCAGAGCTAAATCATGCCCATTGTGACAGTGCGGCACGCTCGGCTGTGGCTCGAATGCATCGAAGATCAAGTCTCCGCGGAAGTCAGCCGTGAAGTTCAAACTTTCAAATCTGACCTGATGGCCAGGGGCGTAGCTTTCGATCTGCTCCAGATGGCCAAGCGAATTGGCCCGCAGTGCAAAGCCGCCGAATACGAAGATCTGTCCAGGGAGAAAAGTCTCACCCTGGACTGTGTCGTTGTTGATGATCGAAGAAGCCATCGAGCCTATCGGTGACGACACAGAGGAACTCTCAATGAAAGCACCAATGTCGGTGTCAAAACCGGCGGATCTCGGGTAGGGGGTCCCGAACTGTGCGTCTAGGCGGATGGTAATAGGAGACAAGGGACACGATGTTTTACCCAGGTTCGGGCCCTCTTGATGGAGGTAAAACCCTACGTCCTGCTTGATTGATATTGATGATGTGGGTATTACAAGAGTAGATCTACCACGAGATCAAGGTGGCTAAACCCTAGAAGCTAGCCTATGGTATGATTGTTGTTCGTCCTATGGACTAAAACCATCCGGTTTATATAGACACAGAGAGGGCTAGGGTTACACAGAGTCGGTTACAATGGTAGGAGATCTACATATCCGTATCGCCAAGCTTGCCTTCCACGCCAAGGAAAGTCCCATCCGGACACGGGATGAAGTCTTTAATCTTGTATCTTCATAGTCTTGGAGTCCGGCCGATGATGATAGTTTGGCTATCCGGACACCCCCTAGTCCAGGACTCCCTCACCCTCCTCGCATGACAGCGGAGGAGGAGGCCCGTCTCCTGCAGCGTGTCATGGATGACTCCATGAACACGCACGACGAGCGGCAGTGGGACGGCCTGGAGGAGGCCATCGCCCTCTCTGCCGCCGGGGACGTCGCGTTCCCGGAGCTGCAGTCGGCGGCCGTCACGGGGGAGCCGATGGAGGAGGACCCGCCCGTGTTTGAGCAGCTGGTGGGCCAGGGGCGGTGTTGGTCCTGCACTGCGCCGGAGATGGCCGCCGGCCTGGTCGTGAACTGGTGCCCCACTCCGCCGCGGTCACCGGAGCGGGAGGCGTCGCCGCGGGAGGAGGTGGTGCAGGCACCTCCGGTCGTCCAGCCCACCCCGTCTACCACGCACCGCCGCCCCACCTCTGGACCCCGCCGGAGTACATCGACCTCGTCAGCGACGACGACGACACCGGCGACCAGTGAAGACGGCGACGGGCGCGGCAGGAGCGCGCAGGAGGAGTTTTTTTTATTTTGTTATTATGTTAATTATGAAACTGGGCCTTTTAGGTGGCCGTTGAAACTGGGCCGTTTTGTGGCCGGTCCCTATATATGTTTTATATTTTTTTTAAATGTGTTTATTTGCTTTTTTAGTTATTTCATTCAGTTTTTTATTCCCGTCCACCCCGGACACGATTTGGGGTGCGGCTACGCGGTGGACGCACGCACGACCCAACGGACACAACCGGATACGGGCGAACCCATCGGCGCCCCAAACGGACAAAATCCGGCCAATCCGGACGTCCGTTTAGGGTCGTGCGGTGGAGTTGGCCTTATCCGGCCGCGTGTTTGTTTTTTTACGGGGATGCGTGCATCAACTTTTGCTAAAACAGCTCGTGCAGCAATAGGGGTTAATACAGCTAACGAAGGTACCTTTCTCTCCTGCCCCTGCATGCCAGGTTGTTCAGCAGGAAAGTGAAGACTTTCGGACGCGCATGTGTTTTACTGCATGCACCGCTTTTCGGTTTCAACTTGGCCACGTCTTTTTTTGGTCAGCCTTGATCTCGTACCCCACACAGAGTTAGACAGAAATTTGCTGCCGAGAATAATATGCCCATAATGGGTCTTGTTCCGGCGAGCGCCATATAAAAGCTCTTTGGTTAAAAAAAGAAATAAGGCTCCAACAAAAATATTGGGTCGCGCTAACTGCCACACGTGTGGCAGGAAGGGAGACGCACCACACATCTCTAATGTAAACAGATTGCCACGTCATCGCATGCATGCATGCAGGAATCTTTTTGGATTTTCAGTTTTTAAAATGTTTTATCTCTTAAACGAAAAATCCGATTGAAAATCCGTTTTCACCATTAAATCCCTCGCGATGAGATCTTCGAAACTAGATCCCATGTTGATATGTTTTGATGAAAAAAAATTGGATTAAAAGTTGCCATGTCTATTGCATATGACTTGCCATGATGTTTACACTGAAGTTGCCATGATATGTTTCAGCTATTTTCTTCTACATTTAAAAGTAAATTTTGACATTTATAAAACGGAGAATGAAGAAACTAGACTTGCCATGAACCATAAACTAAAATTGCCATGATACATGCACGTAAAATTGCCATGGTTCATACAAAAAATAATTTTCATGGTCAAAGTACTGGAGTTGCCATCATCAAAATACTAAAATTGCCATGATCTACAAACTAAAATTGCCACATGGCAACTTTAGTTTAAGCCCTATGGCAACTGTAGTGTAAACATCGTGGCAACTTCTGACAAAAAAAAATTCGTCGAAACATATCAACATGGGGTCTAATTTTGAAGATCTCGTCGAGACGGATTTAATGGTGAAAACGGATTTTTAGTTCGCTTTTATTTAGGAGATACAACATTTTTAAGCCGAAAACCAAAAAAAATTCTGCTGATGTCATCTATTCATACGTGGCAAAATGAGTTGTGATGAAGGCGTGTGGATGATGTGCAAACGCCCACACGTGTGGGCGTTAACATTTCCGAAAATACTTAAGCCATATTAATTACCCTGTCATGAGATAAAAAAACTGGCATTCTCACAATCTTTCCCGGCATGCATGTCAATCTAAGCCTCTTAATGTCACGTCACTATGGATTAGTACTTGTGATTGTGAGTGATTGACTGACTGTTACTCTGAGACATTATTTTTGTAAGTTATTTCAGACAATTTAAAATGGGCTGTTTTATACATTATTTGAAATGTCTTTAATTTTTCAAGGTCTTATAAAAGCGATCAGAGGGAGTATCTTATTTCATGCCACGTTGAGCCGGCCGGCACGGATGTGTGTGTGTATGATTGGATGACATGGGGTCTCTTGAATATAGCCGGTAAAAAATAAAAGTTGCAAAACACAGTACCGGTTCCCGTGTGAAACGGTCGATCGTGTTCTACCAGAAACTCTTCGTCACGTCTATTCGGTGCAGGTTGGGCCCATGCAGCTATACACTCAATTAACTCAGAGTAAAGTCCAGAAAATATCTATACTCTAACATGTGTGTGTACAAACCAAAGGGCTCTAAAGAAAATTTTCATACAAAAATCCTATCCTATAGAATCCCTATAAAAATCCTACAAACCAAAGGAGGCCTAAAAGTTTAAAATCGTTCACTGCTGGTCCTAAAAGTTTGAAATCTACTCTTGTATTCCTGTAGACATCAACCATAGTGTTGTCTACCATTGAGCCAAGGCTTACATCCCATCCCTGTAGTATTAAGGAGTAGTATTTCAGGCGGTAGTATTTCAGCAGTATTAAGGAGTAGTAGTATTTTGCGGGCGTAATCGACCCAAATCAGGCGAAAAAGAAAACTGAAAACGGTGATTTAAGCCAGGCTTAAAGGGTATTCGGCTAGAAAACGGCCATCCAGCCAGGCCTAAAACTAGAAGGCTGAAAAATCGTTACGAGTCAAAGATTGTGTTTCTGAATCCTAAAAAAGATCAATCAATTATACTCCCTCCGCCCATATTAGTTGCCGCTCAAAAAACAATATAATCCCATAATTTCAACCAACCGCAGTGACATGAATCCAGGATATCGAACTGCCTGTCGTAGCACTGCTATTTTCAGCAAAGATCGTGAGCCGTTCTCTGTAAAGATTAACCAAGATCCGGTGATAAAGGGAGAAACAGGGCTAGTAGCACAGAAGCAAAGTAGCATGACAAAACTGCTTCCGCCAGTCAGAATATTGTTTATGGATTTCAACTCGGACACAGAACTAATTTAGAGGCCAAAACTTCATCATCTAACAGACGTGTCTCAAATACCTTTGACCTAAGCTTCTGCTGAGTAGTTGATCATCCAATTTTTCTTTTCTTGATAGAAAGGAAGACGAGGCTTAATCCTCCTGCCGCCTCTTCTTTAAGGACCCGACACCGGCGGCGCACTTCGCTCTACTCCTCGGCTTCGACCAGAATCTTCTTGCAGGCCTCGTAGCACATGAACGAGATCCCCGCCGCGGGCATGAGCTTGATGCAGCTGGGCCCAAGCCCCTTGTACAGACCACCGATCCCTTCCTTCTCCATTATGCAGTAGAGCGCATGGAACACGTTCTTGTAGACCTGCCTTCCGCCCACCGCCCCTGCCTGCATCTGCTTGCGAGCTACTTCGAGAGGGAAGGTGGCGGTGCTCGAGATGGCGCCCGCGGCCGAACCGATCAGGAGGGTTGCAATGTTGCTGATCTCCTCCTGCTTGAATGTCTTCCTGTAGAGCTTCCTCAGGGTGTCGTAGGCGTAGTAGTTGGTCGCGGCATATGGCACCACTCCTATCAGACTCGGTGTCAGACCACGGTAAAGCTCCGAGGGGCCTTCCTCTCGTACAATCTTGACGAGGCAATGGAGAAAGTTGTCATATACGTCTTTCTGCAGAAACAAGTACACGTGAGGCGAGGTACTCAAATAAATATCACTCTTACACATGTTAACAAAGAGTTGTATCCACCTCTATAGTCAGACGGGTCTTGATCAGTTCCAGAGGATATGTGCAGAGTGTTGAGCTGACACCTGCAAGTGCCCCCGCGACAAGTGATGGAGGGAAGGGGGTCTTAGAGGACTCATCAGCCTTTGGAGTCAGGAATTTTTTGGCTGTATCAAAAGCAAATAGCTGCATTTGGATGCAAAGAGATCAATCAAATTAAAATATTGTTAGTTTGTCTTAAGAGGTAAACAACAAAGTGTTTGATCACTAATAACAAATCTTAGGTCCCATACTGAGATTAACAAGCAGAAGAGGAACTGGGCGTAGAGACTTGCAACCAATTTGAGTGTAACATGCACCCCAAAAAATCAGTGTAACAGAATTATGCAGTCTGACAATCATAAACGTACTTCTATAGCAATAGTCAAACCAAGTTTCTACAGTGAAATTGCATTAATGTTTTGTCATCTAGAGTATAATATCAGAAGACAAGATATAAGAAAGCAAGCAGTGGCAGTTCAGCCAATCATTCAAACCAGGGAGTAGAAGACTAGAAGTAGTGCAGAACTAAACAACTAAGAGTTTAAATACACACTAAAAAGTGTCCACAGTCTGACTTTGTTAAGAGTGTCAGGACCACGATATACTAATACTAGAGGACAGAACCTTTGATCATATGAAAGACAAAACTCAATTGTGTAATCAAATGTAGGAAAACATCAACTCACTGCTAGGCAAACCCAAACTCCTTTGCAGAAACTGTGTTTACAAATTGCATATACTGTTACACCTACTAAACTAATAGCAGCCTGGGTGCTATATAACATTGACTAAAAAGTAATGGTGCCCCATTATTGTTATGGCCCTCCTCCCACATCAAGTTTGCTGCATCTATCAGCAAACTGAAGGTTGTTGTAAGTGCACTACACAATTAACATCAAATTGAAGTGTTGAAAACTACACCACACCACATGATCACAAATGAAAGTGAAGTAGACACCCTATAGTAAATCGATTATAAGCAGAGAACCTCTATAGCATCAGCAATACACCAGGCATTGGCTAAATCACATGGTACATTTTAGCAACAAGGTCTAGTGGGAATTGCCAAGTAGCATAAATGGAAAGTTACCTCAATCGCCTTGCTTGGAGCAACACGGATAACATTTACAAAGTTCCCACGGAACAGCCCTGTCCAGCCCTCCGACTTCATAATTGTCTGAAACACCTCTGTCATTGAATCCCCATTGCTCCCAACCATCAGGTGTGTCCTAATTGTCTCCAACGGCGCCACACAAGTCCTCGAGACCGCCCCCGCAATAGCTCCACTAACCAGCCGCCTCAAGTGCGGGTTACCAATCTTAATTTTCAGTTTCAGCCCACGCTTCTTGGCCTTCTTCCTAATAATCTTACCATCCACTACCACCTCCTCCTCCACAGACTCAGCCACGGCCCCAACAACTGGAAACCCGACTGCCGACGAGACATACTTTATGCAGTGATCAGCAAAAGGGATCTTGAACTCCTGCTCCGCCGGACTGGTCGACACTGCTGGAGCAGGTGTCGACACTTTGAGACCGACGCTAGCAAACAGCCCGCCATGAGGGGAGGCAGAGTCATGCAAGCTTAATGAGAAGGCCTTATGGCCCTTATCTTCTTGCAAATCCCAGGGGAACCGTAGCTCCGGAAGCGGCGGGATAGCCCACCCATGTTTCTTCTCCGAGGCCAGCGTGCAGTTCTTGCTCTTGGCCGTCACGGCCATCATCGTTCCCGCCATGGGTGGGTAACCGCCTTGGCCGGCCTCAGACTGCAGACGCACAATCAGTGGTGGACGGCCGCCCTGCACTGACGGTCGCAACAAAGAGCATATTCTTAGCCACTCACTCCAAAAAGTTCGACACCACCAACGCAGACTACCTAATAAACAATATCGAATCATGTAAACGACTTGAAGATGAACTGGGAAAATCATGCGGCAAGTACTCATCAAGAATGATCACCAATTCATCATTATATCCTCACAGTATCAAATCTACAGCAAGTACTCATCCAATACAATACAAAAAATTCAGTAAAAAAACTGAACAAACAGAGGATGCAGGAGGAAGGAGGGAAGGGGGATGAGGGAAGAGGTGGGAAGGAAGGGGAAGGAAGGAGAGGGGAGGAAGGAGGACGGAGGAGTGGCGGCTACCTGCCTATGGACTGGTCGCCGGAGTAGCTCCGGGCGGCGGCGGAGGCGGCGGCTGGCCCAGGAAGGAGGGAGGCGGTGCTGGTGGGGGTCCTGTGCCGGCAGCGGGGCGGCGGAGGCCTCGGCCCGGAAGTAGTGGCGGCGGGCCGGCGGTGGCTAGGAACCCTAGCTGTCGCGCTCGGGGAAGACTCTGGTCGGGAGCGCCCGTGCTCGCAAGGATAGGGTGCTCCGGCCGGCTGCACCATGCACGGCCCAGCCGTTAGATGCGTAATATAGGGACAGGATGCAACGCCCTTCGAAACTTGCAAAAACCACCCCATGGAAGCGCAGAATTATACTACCTGTAACGTTTCTCCAAATATGTGCTGCTCCCCTGTTCGGGAAAAAACGAGCACGGGCAGAGCGGGTATGGAGGGCTTCGGGGCTCCGGCGGCGGGCCTCGCCGGCCGTGTGCTCCGGCGGCGAACTCGGGGGATCAGTGTCGCCACGGTGCTCCGACGTGCGGCGTTCCGACGTCCAGCGGACAGCCCACTCCATCCCCGCCCCTCCCCACACCCGGCGCCAGATCCGGCATCCGCCGACGCCGGAGAAGAGGGCTCCAGCCTTCAGGTATCCATCCTTTTGAATGTTACAACCTTGTGTTTTTATTCTGTATGCATTTTGGTTTTAATCCATCGTCCCCTTTACATTGATCGTGTGAGATGTCCTATCTGATCCGAGTAAAATGTGGTGATCTCTCAGCTGGCGTGCGAAAAATAATAACTGAACTGTTGTATTTGGCTCAGACTACATGCATATTCAACCAATTAGGTGTAGAAAAATATAGACAATCTATGGCCTGAGCAAAGTAATTGTACCTACCTGTTCAAGTGCCTGAACATGAAGTGCTTGTTGGTCTAAGCACATGACCGAGATCCATTAACACTTGCAATACGTGCCACACTGATTTGTGAGAATGCCCTGCCTGCTCTGTTTCTTCAGCATTTCCATCAAAACTAATACGGTGGCGGTTTTGGTTTAGTGAACTAAAATTATTAGCTCTATGTTCATTATCAAACACATTTTACATTCAGGATTTGGCAATCCTTAACATCTAGGTTGCCTAGCTTTGAAAGCATACGACACTGATCGCCTGTATGTGCTAAGCTACAACATGCCATAATTTTGCTCACCACTTGACTAGTCTACCTACTTTTGAAGCACAGTTGTGAGCCACATAGTTAATGTTCCTTGGTATGTGATGAATTTGTATATGCACGTTCGCTCTTGCAGCAAATAAATTTGCTAGCTGGTTTCTCATCACCCAATGCCCAGGGGAAAGAAAAATATTTCTTGATGCTGCTGCCTTGGCTGGAGTCAGATTATCCACCATAAAAATGACCTGCTTGCATCTGAATTTGGAAATTATTTCTGCAGCAACCTGAAGGGCCATATCTCCTGCTTGTAACGGGGAAGTGGCATGTTTTCCAGCTGCTGAAACAAAGATGTTTGTTTTTACTTCATTTTCTTCAACTCCTATATGTGGCACTATATATGGGGTCAGATCCTGCCTTAGTCTTCCTTATTCAGGTGCAAAAAGTGGCACTACAGTCCTACAGATTTAACATTTTGGTGCTACGTGTCATCACATAATTCCATGCTGCTGTACTCAGGAATATTTTTTATTAGCAGTATTATCATAACTCTCTTTTTTCTTAGTACATCTGAATGCCAATGCATTAGACATTTTCTTTGTTTGGTACTTTAGCGTGGCATTGTTGATTTTTTTGGAGTTCATTGTGCTACAGCTCTCATGACAAGCTAACTCTTAGGTGCTCCTGCATGTAATATCTTACACTTCTTTCTGCACTTACCAGGGAAGGATGGAGTCAATGGCAAGTATTGCTCCAAGTGCCAGGTCAACTACAGCGATGGGACTTGAAGATGATGGCATGATGCCAACAACTTTTCCTTACCGTCGACGGCGACCGAGCGCAAGGGAGGAGACGCGCTGAGCTCTCCTCCTCCCTACTGGCACTCCTGCCACCCGCCGCTGTCTCTGCCCGGCTTCCCTGTCACGGTGGCTACACTGTTTGCTTCCTTCCCCAGAGGCCACAGCCTCGTCCACACAGAACTGCCTCCTCTATGGATGATGCTTTGGTATGCCCTGCTCTTGCTCTGCTCTGAGATCATTGCTTTGATGCTAATGGAATCGATTTCTTCATGGCTATGTCAAGATTATTAGGATGAGAAGTAGGATGAGCTTGCTATTGTCAAGATGATTGGGGCTTTGCCAGGCACAAGTGCCAGATCTTGTTGGAATTTGTCCATCTGGTACGAGCTTAGTGATAAACTGGTGAATCATTGTATGCATTGCCTGGTGTTTAACAGAACATTGCACAACTGACTCTTAAAAGAGGATGTTATGTTAACCAAGCAATTGTCACATGTGAATCGAATTTTCTGATGTGTGGTTCGTGATTTCTTGATATGTAGATATGGGGTGCTCGAAGAGGATGGCTGCTCCTTACATATGTTGCTCAACTTTTAAAATGATATATATGTGGCATGCTCAAGTGTTGGATAATACGATTCTGGACTTGATGTATATGTAAACCAATCCTGAACTTGATGTCTATGCAAAACAATTTTGGTTTCACACTGGTTGATTATGGAATCGGACCCTTGTGTGGAGCCTGTACACGCTATGTGTTTTTGTAGCTTGTTCAGCAAGTTCCCAAACAGCATTATACTACAAACTTATTTTCAGCCTTGCCTAACTTCAGTCTTGTGTGTGTTTCTTTGTTAATTTACAGTTGTACTGAAATGTAGCAAAGCAGGCTATCATTTGTGTGAGTTGTACTGAACTGTGGGTCTGTGGCAAAGATGAACCCTTTGTCTTTTCTTGTTGTTGCTTCATAACACCATCTTAACCTTAAAGTTAAACTCACTAGTGCATGCTTTTTTCTCTATTTTTAAAGCATTTCTGTTTTGCCTTTTCTCAAGCAATTATGTTTAGTTAGTTGCATAATTGTGAAACAACTATATCTACATTGGAAAACTCCTAAGCTTCGTCACTTTTTGTATCCAAAATCCCGTGAACTTTAACTCTGTTTTTCTACTTATAAATTGTATATTATGCACCCACTATGATTCTGACTCTGGATGTTATGAACCACTTTCTCTCTTGACTTTACTTCCTTTTTATGCAGTAAGAGAATCGCCTTCGTCACCGGATCCAACCAACTAAGGCCAGAATCTAGATTTTCATTTTGAAGAACCAGTCCAAGAATATCTGAGCAATGTCTTCAACAAGGTAACGGTGTAAAAACATTGCCATTGACAGGTATAACTAACACAGGTCAGACCTAGGCTTTCATCCTGGAGCTCGAGACCGGGTGCTTGAGTAGCACCACAACTGAAGCCACTAAGGGTGTGTTTGGTTGTGTTCTCGTCTCAGCATAGTTGTTCCCTCTTCATGCATGCTCAACTCAACACCCCTCTTCATGCATGCTTCTAGTGTATTTGTGCTAAGCTAGTGTGGACTCATGCACCCTTCATACACTCTACCAAACACCCAAAAGTGGGTCGAGAAGGGAACTCTTGGGCTCATGCATCCTTCATACACCCTACCAAACACACCCTTATGTGTTGTCGCCACCACCTTTTCACAATCCCAGCTGCTACATGCAATGTGCGACCGCCACTGCTACACAACCATCCCTTGGCGTCAAGCGTCGTTCGGATCTAGAGAGAGGAACTCTCACAAAGACCTTTTGGTGGCCACCTCAATCAGCAGCGAGTCCGCCGCCGCAGGCCGGAGTGGTCACCACAAGAACCAACACCATTGGCGGAGCACACCATCGTCGATTACTACCTCGCCAGAGAGAACCCTGCCTAGGCCCGTTCGCCTCTGGGCCGACATGGCTAGACCTGGAGCACGAAAGACATATCACCATCGCCAACGCGCACCCACGCTCTGCTAGATCAGAAGTGCATAGCCGCCAAATCGTTGCCGCGCCTCCTGACCGAAGCGCTATGCCCACCGCCCGCCATCGCTCCTCAACCACGCAGTCGCGCAGCAGCCTTGCATTTGCGCCACCGCTGAAAGCCTGCGGTCACGCCACGTCGAGGCCCACGCCCACACGAAGCCGGGATGTCCCGCGCTGCCAGCCAACCTCACAAGAGGGACAAGTAGCCTCGTCAGCGCCAGCACCGCACTCTCGCGGCACCCTCCGACGACGGCGAGGGAGAGGAGGGGATGGGAGGCAGCCAAGTCTTGGTGGCGCTAGGGGTCCCCGTGTCGCTCGCGAAAGTGGCACGGGACGATCCATTTTTTGCGGCTGCTTGCCGAACATTCCTAAGGTTCGTTAAGTAGAATTAGAGCCACAAGTTACCAAGACTAAGAAAATCTTACCACACAAGTAGCCTCGTCAGCGCCAGCACCGCACTCTCGCGGCACCCTCCGACGACGGCGAGGGAGAGGAGGGGATGGGAGGCAGCCAAGTCTTGGTGGCGCTCGCGAAAGTGGCACGGGACGATCCATTTTTTGCGGCTGCTTGCCGAACATTCCTAAGGTTCGTTAAGTAGAATTAGAGCCACAAGTTACCAAGACTAAGAAAATCTTACCACACCTTAAGAGTGTATGTCATGTAGGGCCCTAATGTGGCAAAGCGCATCTTGCCTAAGGTGTGGCTTGAAACAAACAACCACCTAATCTGGTCAAACTTGCCAAACTTTAGGTGTGGCAAACTTAGACAAATCTAGCCTCAAACTAAAAATCGCCTCATTAATCGCTTTCGAATTGAGATAACATTTCATAGCAGTAAGCTTCTGAATTTAGACAACTCGAGAGCACAAATATAGAAAATCTACCTGGCACCGAACCAATTTAGTTGCTTTATTTCGGAATCCTGTGAATCAGACAGGAACTTAAAAGCAGAAAATCATGGATATATGGTAAAATGAGTAAATGATAATTATATTGCTTAGTAACTTACATAAGTTTACCCACAAATAGTCAAATCACTTGGTGAGTGCAAATCATGCTAGAAGGTAGTATATAGCCAAGAGAAACATATCCATGGCAATGACCCAGTTCAGTTTACAATAAGGATACAGAGATAATGGCCCAGTTTTATTGAAAGCAGAGCACCTGAGATATTCTCCCAGCATACTTTACTGTCTAGCTTACCTCTGCCGCGCACTTACTTGGGAGGCTTGAAGTAGGCATAGACAGCGAAGAAGGTCTGCAGCACGGCCATGGAGAGCAGGAGTAGGGCTGCGAACACTGACATGGTCACCCAGGGGTTGCTAAAGTAGTTGCGGGCAAGCGCCGCGCGCCACTTGTGACGCCTGCGCTCCCTGTACCTGTTCACCTCGTCCATCAAGCCGACTAGGTAGTTGTCGTCGGCCGACCAGTGCACCTGCCCGCCGATGTCGCTGAAGAAATGCCATGCAACCCTCCTGCTGCTGAGGTGGCTGACGAGGATGCCGTGCAGGTCAAGTATCCTCATGTCCTCTGCCGAGGTGATGAGGCAGTCCATGAAGACGGCGTAGGTGGAAACGTCGCGCGGGGTGTCCGGGTAGGTCTGCTCGAATGCGATCAGGTTCCGGAACAACGACTCGCTCGAGTCGTTGAGCTCCAGCTGTGGGATCTCCAGCACGCCCTGGGTGAAGCTCACGTCCAGGAAGCTCGTGGCATTCTCTCTCTTGCGGAATTGGACCCCAGCCTCCTCCAACTCCTTGGCGCACGGGATCCACTGAGGGAGCTCCGATAGCACCACTTCGGTTCGACGGCGGCGGGAATGCTGCCTGCGGTGGCTCGGTGGGAAGCCGACTGAAAGGTAGAAGAGGTGCAGCAGGTGGTGCACGCCGCGGCATGCGATGGGCGACTGGTGCAGCATCTGGGGACGAAGGGAGCGGAAAAGCCTGAGGCTTCCGGTCACCAGGAGCTCTTCGGACTCGTCCTCGTTCCCCAGATGCTGAAAGAGCTCCCGTATCACGCAGAACGGGATCTGGTTCTGCAGCAGCAGGAGGTCGCGCGTCACCAGCTGCCACACAAAGCACCTGCCGTAAACCTGAGTCCAGTCCTCGTCGTCGTCGACAAACTGATGGCCGCCGCGGCCAGCTTGTTCCATTTTCGCGCGGCGCGCGTACTTGAGCAAGCGGTGTAGGATGAAGCAGCCATCTAGTAGCATCGTCTGGGCCACCTCGTCGTCGGGGTGGGTTCCCGCAGTCATTAAGGAGCGCTGTGAGTAGGAAGCCTGAATTTTAGGCACGAGGCGCTTCATGCTCGTGAAGCATCCGTGCAGTAGCATAAGTGTCTTGGCAGGCTCCAAGAGGCAGCTGTGCCGGCCGATGAGCTGCCGCACGCAGCACCATTTGTATTTGTTCAACTGCACCAAGCTTTCCCTGTATCCCAAAGGAAGAGTGTCAATCTTGGAGTACGTTCTTCCTATGCAAACAGCAACCGGCTCATATTCTTCCACGGGGTTATAGTTATTAATTTTAAGTTCCTGGGGGACCATGTAGATGGTGGGTTGCTGCGTGGAGTCAGCGTCTCCTGCAGGAGCCGCACCACACAACTGTTCCACCATTGCCTTGAAATGGAGCTCGTCTACTTGAACGTCGTCATCACTTCCTGCAGGAGCCTCACCGCGTAACTGCTGCAACATTTTCTTGTAACGGACCTCTTCTTCGTGGACATGGTCATTTCCTGACAAAATTAGGACCAACACACAATTGTAAGTTACACTCCATTCCGAATTTCTTTCTGAAACAGAGGCAAAAATGGTTGTGTGCATCACTATGATGCAGAGGCCGGGGCTCTCGAAAAATACAGATGCAAAAGATATCCCCTCTCACTAATTAACATGGGAGTTTATAACAATGTAAGAAAGCCAAAGTTCGAAGGCCAAACTCGTGTTTCTCTTCGACCTCCTCCTCCTCTCTTGCGATCACCATATCGCCTCTATTTGCTAGGGTTTCCCTCCGATGGAGTCCTTCATGGCATCAGAATTCTTCCATGGATCTCGTGTGGCTGCTCTGGTGAGTCGCCATTTCAATTCCTCAGTCCGTTGGATCTCTCTCCCATCCTTAGACCGTGCTAATTCATTTCTATTCGGCGAGTTTTCGATCAATGGCCTCAACCTTCTCTACTTGTTTGGGTGGAGATGCTTATTCCAAGATTTACTCAATGGAGGATGCATGTTAGGCTTAGAAGCTAAGAATGGGCTAGGAGCCAATGTCGAAGGTGCCGACCGCTCTCTCCCAGGGCCCCTCCGATGTTGGAGCAACTTTGGTGTGTTTTAGCGATGGTTGTTTTTGGAGGAGCGGGGACATGGGTTTGGTAGATTTTTGTGGTCCAGTACGGAGGAGGGGTTGGAGGATGAGGATGACGAGACCCGTATGGAGGTCCTGGAGAAGGGGAGTGGGGCATGGGCACGAGTCTTGCCGACGCTTGTGTTGCTTCCAGTCGTCCCCTCTAATATGTAGGGACGTCTGGTTTAGTAGAAGGGGTATTGTTCGGAAATTACAAATGGTGCACTGCTACTAGCCTGTCGGCTTCGTCGACCTCGCGCAACGCGACCATATCTACCGCTTGTTAAAGTCCTTGTACGGGCTGACACAAGTTCCCCGCCCGTGGTCTCAGTGGTTCAGTGGCGGTGGTTCGCCGGCTTCGCCACCACCATTGGTTTCATTACGTCTCGCTCCGACACCTCCCTCTTTATTCTCCTGCAGGACAGCGGCGTCGCCTACCTGTTGCTATATGTCGACAATATTGTCCTGACCAGCCTCCTCCTCTTCGGCTTTCCTCGGTAACATCGTCTCTCAACTGCAGCAAGAGTTTGCCATGAAGGATATGGATCTGCTCAGTCAGGCACCGCACAATATGCTGAAGAACTGTTGCAGCGCGCCAACATGACTCAGTGCAAAACGGCGTCAACTCCAGTGGACACCCAGCCCAAGGTTGCCGCTGATTCTGGCAGCCCTGTCTCCGATCCCGCTGAATACAGGAGTATTTAACCATGACACGCCTTGACTTGGCTTACGCTGTTCAGCTAGCTTGCTTACATATGCACGATCCCAGAGACTGCCAGCTCGTCATCATCAATAGGATCCTGCGCTATGTCCGCGGCACTGCCACTTCCGGTCTTCTACCTGTGCCCTCATCGACCGATATTGTGGCTTATTCCGATGCGAACTGGGCCGGCTGCCCAGATACGCCGCTCGACCTCGGGCCACTATGTGTATCTCGGCGGCACTCTGGAAAGCTGGTCCTCCAAACGGCAGGCCATCGTCTCCCATTTGAGCGCGGAAACAGAGTACATGGCGGTTGCCAATGCAGTTACAGATTGCGTTTGGCTCAGACATCTTCTCGACGAGCTCGGATGTTCCCTTCCAAAGGCTATCGTTGTCTTCTGTGACGACATCACAACTATGTACATGTCCACAAATCCAGTCCATCATCGGCGGACCAAACACATCGAGTTGGATATTCTCTTTGTACGTGAAAAAGTGGCCCTTGTGAGCTTTGAGTTGTTCATGTCCCAACTACTCAACAACTAGCTGACATCATGACTAAAGGTTTGCCGACAAGCTCGTTTCAAGCGTTCATGTCCAGTCTCTGCATCTCTTCAGGCGCCGACTCCTCGATTGCGGCGGGGTGTTAGCGGACGTGTGTTCATGCATGTATAGGTAGTGCTCCTAGTGGTGTACATTCTAACATTATCTAGGACCTAGTCTTTCGAAGTTCAAAAGAAAAAAGACTAGTCTCCAGGCTAGTCATGTGTGAGTTAGTTGAGATCCTGTAATTACACATACGTGTAATCTCTCTGATAAAAAATAGTGTGAGTTGCACAAACCATTCTCTCCTACCGTCATTCTGGTTCTGACAATGACGTCATTAGTAGAAAACAGGGCTTTCGTTCGGGCCAGATAAGCCCATTAGCCCGGGTTCAGTCACGAACCAGGACCCATGGGGGCATTGGTCCCGGTTCGTGCGGCTAAAGGCATTAGTCCCGGTTCAAATGAGTCCTTTAGTTCCGGTATGAGACACGAACCGGGACAAAGGATGCAATGCCCTTTAGTCCCGGTTCGTATCTCAAACCGGGACTAAAGATGGGACTTTTAGTCCCGGTTCGTATCTCAAACCGGGACTAAAGATGGGACCTTTAGTCCCGGTTTAAGACACGACCCGGGACTAAAGGGTGCCTTTAGTCCCGTTTCGTGTCTCAAACCGGGACTAAAGGTCTCATTTTCAAACTCTACCCCCCCCTCCCTACCCCGTGCAGCGCCTTTTCAGTTTCGTAAAAAGCAAAAGAAAATGATAAAGCTTCGAAAATTAAAATCCTTCGAGATGTAGTTATGTCACTACATCTATTAGTTAGGAAAATTAAAAAACTTAAATTTGGACATGTTTTGCAAAAAAGTGTTATGAAAAAGTAAAACGGCCATATCTTCTGCATACGATGTCAAAACAAATGCATAATATATCAAAAAAATTAGCACAAAAATCCGCATCGATTTTGACGGCCGTAGGCCTATTTGCAAATTTTTAGAATCCTCAAATTCTGAAAGGAAAAAAAGATATGCTCAAATTTTAGTGTTTTTTTTAATTTTGGTTTAATTTGGTCAAACTATGGTCAAACTACTTATTCAAGAAGTATTAGTGGTACTAAATAATTATTTAAGAATACTAGTGTTACTAAATAATTATTTTAGTATTTTGAATTTTGGTCAAATCTGGTCAAACTACTTATTCAGGAAATATTAGTGTTACTAAATAATTATTGTTTTTTAGAATAATAGTTTCAAACTCAAACAGTGAAATGTGTGACTTCATGCTCAAGCTAAACTCCTGAGGGTTAATAGGATTAACATCTTACTATTGTCAGAAAAACAACAAATGCAGACTTGGAAACGAGGGAGAATAGAACCCGAAAGTTAAGCGTGCTCAGGCTAGAGTAGTGAGAGGATGGGTGACCAGCCGAGAAGTTAGATGATTTGGAATGATGAGGGGAGGGCCTTTAGTCCTGGTTCGTATAAGAACCGGGACTAAGGGGGGACTAAAGGCTCTCTAGAACCAAGACAAATGGGCCTTTTTCTATTAGTGCGTCCTACCTGCTGAAGCTTTACTACTAAGATTTGGCCTTCCATTGATGCAAAGGCGGGGTGTAATCCTCTTGTTCTTAGCTCTAATAATATGAAAGTAACTGAGACTAAAGAATGGTAGATGATCGGCAGGAACAACGATGACAGCTTTTGATGATTGTAATTATCTCACTTGTGATTATCCGCTCACTAGATTTGAATGTTGTAATAGGCAAGTAATAAAGTTGTTTATGAGCTTACTAGATTAGTTAGATTTTCTACTCCAATGATTAGTTAGATTTTCTACTTCAATTATACTTCTCCCTCCCAAAATAAGTGACTCAACTTCATACTAGAGGGAGTATCTATCTGTTAATTTAAATTAATAAAGTGGTTTTGTTTGAAAAACAGTGTCAAAGACTAATTCAAGAGGGACTGATGAATTTGGTGAGGTTCTATTACCAGCTCCGCGGAAGATGGCACCATTAAGATCATAGTGTTCTCGGGCTGGAGCGAAGTCGCTTCTCCTTTCATCATCCCAGCCATGTCCACAGATACAAGTAAGTAGTGTGCTGAATTAACATCAAAAGAACGCGGTGTTAAGATCAAAATTAGGATGGATTTATTAGAACAGAAGGATGGCCTACCGCACAGTGCATCAGTTTTTCTTTTTCTAGAACAGAAGGATACCAAATCAGGGATCGAACCTGACTGGCCTGGAACAGGAAGCAATGCCCCTCCCACTGAGCTAACCGCTCAATTCTTACAATTCATCATGATCGTACATGAATCTTTTTCTTTTTTTTTAGAAACGTACACAATTTTTTGGCGGAGAGATCGGACACGCATCAACACAAGTGAGTTTCAAAGGCAGTACGCACGCAAGCATAACAAAAGAAAAACATTGCACAAAAAAAATTGTTCTCTATTTACTGATTTGGCTATCAACGTAGTGCTTTTAACATAGTACAACATAGATGCCCATATAGACACAGATACACTCATTTCTATGAACGCATGTGCGCACACTATCCATATAAGCACTTTTGAGATAATGAGCCGGCACAACATCTTGAGGTTGACGAAGTCATCACATGCTTCTTCG